GCAGCAGCAGATCCTCCAGGGACATTTGAGGAAGTGAGGCTGGAGTCCACTGGAGGTCCCAGACATCACACCCTCTGCCTCTCGGGCTCTGGCTGTTCCCTCTATATCTGCCCCCACTCCTCTCCACATATGTCTGTCTTTGGTCTCTGCATCTCTGTCTTCTCTACCTCTGAACCCCTGCCTGCCTCCTTGTTTGTGTCTCTCCATCTACACAGCCTTTCATTTGGTCCCCCTCTGTTTCCATCTGTCTCTCTGCTCTCTAGCTCTCTCCCTGTCTGACCCACTGGGACATGCTTTTAACAGGTGCACAGATACTGTGCGGGTCCCCCCACCCTGTGATCTGTGCCCCTCTCCCACAGCTCTGAGCGATTTCTTGAGCTTCAAAAGGCACATTAATTACTCTAATGAGGTCAGGAGAGACCCTGCATCTGCCCTCTGGAGCCGAGAACACCCTCCAGCCTGGCTGCCTCCTGCTCACCCCAGTGGAGAGGGGAAGGGTGCCCCTTGCTTCCAGGCCCCTGTGCCTCAGCACCTGTCAGCCTCACTGCATCCCCCTGCATTAGTGTGAAGTAATTGGCAGCCCCCTCCAAGGTTAATGCAATATTAGCAGGAAGTTCTCAGTGGCTAAAAGCCGGGAGAAGGGCTTGTCAGCATGAGATGAAAGGCCTGGATCCTGGCAGTTTGAGGGCCGCTGTGTATGGGCATGCATGTGAGGACGGGAAGGGCTTCCAGCACCTTCCTCTACCTCTTACACACATAGACACAGGACACATACAGCATGTGACCCAGACTATCACACATTAGGTATCGACACAGGACACACATGGGCACATACTGCCTGCAACAGAGCTAGGGCCTGTGCCAGATCGGGGTGCACAACACATAGCCCAGCACCCTCGTGGCCCTCCCACCACCTCTCCCCCCTCCACATGCCTACTGGACATGCAGCAAACCTGTCCCCTTAGCTGTGGGCAGGTTGGGGTTTCCCGCTCCTGGGTGACCACTGTGTGGCTTCTCTCTCTTGGGAAACAGGGACAGGTGGGAGCTGGATGCCTCTGGCTCATTAAAACGGCATCTGTGGCCGGCTGCCTCAGGCCAGCAGTGGGTGGTAGTCATGTTGTCTTCCAGGAACTGGTGTGTGTGTGTGTGTGTGTGTGTTTATTGGTTTTTAGAGAGGAAGAGGGAGAGAAACAGCTATCAGTTGCCTTCAGTATACCGGGTCCGAGCATAAAACCTGTGCTCTGACTAGGAATCAAACCAGCGTTTTTTTGTCCATGGGACGACGCCCAGCCACCTGAGCCACGTTGGCCAAGGCAGGAGTGGGGGTTCTGCTGGCTCTGATGTGGGCTCCCTGGGACCTGGCCCCCGCAGCCAGCAGGGCTGCATTCCTCTCACCCAGGGTCATCAGTTGAGGCAGCTGTGCCCTCCTGGGGTTCGCAGCATCCCAGTTCTGATTTCCCTTCCTCTCTGGTGGTTCAGTGCCCCTCATCCTCCCTGGAGGAGTATGAGCTGCCCTCCACCCCATGATGTCCTAGTCCTGGGCCAGGGTGGCTGTGCAGGTGCACCCAGATCTGTGCTACCCAGCACAGTAGCCACATGTGGCTGTTTACAGTCAGAGTAAGAAATTAAACGCCCTGCTTCTCGTCATACTGGCCACATTCCATGTGCCTAGTAGCTGTGGGGAGCTGGGGCCACTTTTATGGGACAGTGAAGATCTGGAACGTTTCTGCCCTCAAGAGAAGTCTAGCCCCAGACTGGTAGGTTATCACCATGGAGGCTGTGTCTCTGTTCAGGCCTAGGGCTGGGAGTGTGGGAGGGAAGGAGGGAACTAGAGGGGTGTGGGGCCGGTTCAGCCACTGGCCTTGGCAGTTGCAGGAATCTTAGGTCCTCCCTGAGATTTCAAGGGCCTGGCTGGACACGAGGGTAGGAAGTGTAATTTTTAATCAGCAAGAGAAGGGATACATTTTTATTTTCAGTGACAGAAGCCACAGCCTGTGGGAATTCTTCACCCCAAGTGCTGGCTGGGCTGGTGCAGAAGCCCTTGCCTGCTCTGACCAGGGTCAGTGGAGCTCCCTGCCTACTGAGGCCACCATTCCTCTCTCCCAGAAATCTACCCGACTGAGCCGGGGCATCTGAAAACCACTGGAGCCGGAGCAGGCTGCAGATTTGGTCCAATTTATACTGTCAGAGAATTTTCCCCTGCGTGTTTTTAGCCTTCTTCACAGTGCTATGGCCTGTGAAGGCTGAGGGATGCTGGACACTGATCCCTACCCTGGGGACTTGTTCAGTGGACCACGTGGCAGATGACGGGTAATAGGTACTGGGTGGTGGGCGAAGGGTCAGTGGGTGCTGGACTTGGGTAAGTGGGTGGTGAGTGATGGGTAAGGGGTCAATGAGCAGTGGGTGCTGAGCATAGGCTAAGTGCCAGGTCTGCGTCCTTCCCTGAGTCTGAGTCATACCCTGGAGCCCAAGAATGCAGCCCCAGTTGGTTGTCTCCAGACTGAGCCTGAAGTCCAACTCTTAACTTCAGAGGAAGCTTACACCAGAATGACCTCTGATCCCAGCTGATCCCCTTGGCTGATGAGGATGGAGACTGAGACAGCCCCCAGCCCTGGGAGGGGACAGGGCCTCTTGGGTGCCTGTAGCTGGTTCCAGCTGAGCCGGGGTCTGCGTGAACAGCTGGGCAGCTTTCCTGCACCTCCACTCTTGCCTTGCCTGGGGCCAGGCCTTGGAGCTGCCCAGCCCTCCCCTCTCTGGACCCCTCCCGGCGCAGAGAGATTGAATGGGGGACACTTGTCTTCTGCTCCAGCTCTGACCTTGAGAGAGAGAAGAACAGAAGAAAAGAAAGCTTAGCTCAAATCTGCTCTGAGGAGGCCCCTGCGTGCTAATGAGCTGACCCAACGCTGGCCTTTTGGAGTAGGTCCCTCTGCCATTGGTGTCCTGCCTGATCCCCTGTGCAGGTCCAGTGCTGCAGGGTTTGGTAGCCCCCACCCTACCTGTGAGGTCCCATAAAGTAGGAGGATTCTCCAATGGCCGAGGAAACTTCTGGAAAGGACCCCTCTGCCAGACAGGATGCTGGGCTGGGCCAGGCATGCTGGCACTTTGGATACATGGCAGCACTTTCTGTGCTTGGGCCAACTTCTAGTCTCTGCTTGGGATACTAGGTCTCTGCTTAGAAACTGGCTGCCCCTCTGCTTCCCAAAGAACCAGCCAGCCAGCTGGGCTGAGCCCTTGCTCCAGGGATGTCCGGAGAGTCTGTCTGACGGCCCAGGGCACCACCTGTAGACAGGTCCTGGGCCTCCTGGGTTGCCCCAACTACCACTTTCTTCCTCAGAGTCATCGGGCCAGCCCTGGCATGGGCATCTGCAGTCAGGTCTGAGGACAGGACCCAAAAGCCAGAAGAGACTGAGCCCTAGGGAGAGGACAGAGGACTGGAGATCTTATCCTGTGGGAGGTGGAGGCCCAGGGTCAGATGAGCCTTGAAGGAGAACAGAATTTCAATAAAGAAGGATAGGTACTCCACATACAGCCAGGCAAAGGCTGGGAAGTGGCTGGCAGAGAAATGGGGCCAGGGAGAAGCTTAGGGGGCAACACAGTGTGGCTGGGATGGGTCTTGTTCGAAGGTTAGTTTGTCCATCTTTTGCCTCTTATGGTCCCTGGGAGGAGCTTCAGCCATCTTGATGGGAACCTTCCAGTTCAAGAGCTCTTGGCTCTGGACCCTGCAGCAGTCCTGGGCGAGGGAGACAAACCAGAGAAGCAAAACCTGGCTGGGAACCACGGGTGTTTAACATTCAGCACTTGGTGACAGCATAACTCCACAAGCTCAGTCTGGTGAGGCCGTGGCATGCATAAGGACAGAACTGTGCCCTAGCCGGTTTTGCTCAGTGGATAGAGCATCAGCCTGTGGACTGTAGGATCACAGGTTCAATTCTGGTCAAGAGCACAAAAGTTGCAGGTTCGATCCCCAGCCTTTCCCACTCTTCCCTTGTCATGTTGACTTACCTGCTGAAGGTGCCAAGATATGGACTCCTGTTACATTTTCTAGGTGAAAAAACGGGTTCAAAGAGGTGTGACTATCCTGTGGGCTCCCAGGGGGCCAGTAATGGACTTTGGTTAGCCCAACTGCAAAAGTCTCCACCAGGTGCCTTAGCTGGTTTGGCTCAATGGATAGATCTGCCTGCAGACTGCAGGGTTCAGTTCTGGGCTAGGGCACATGCCTGGGTTGCAGGCTCAATCCCCAGTAGGGGGCGTGTAGGAGATAGCCAATCGATTCTCATCCATGTTTCTATCTCTCTGAAGTCAATAAAAATATATCTCCCTTCCTTTCTGGAATCAATAAAAAGTATATTTTTTAAAAAGCCTCCACCAGGTAACTGGAGAGGTGGAGTGGGCTCGGCCTGGTTTTGGGATTTGGGTTTGAAAAATGGGGGTGAGTCATCTCTGTTCCTCCTGCTCCTTGAACTGCCAGGCTCTGCAGATGGGCTTGGTGGCCTGAACGGAGGTGGCAGGAACTCGGGAAACCTCCATCAGGGCTACATGATGATGTTGGGATCTCCGGAGCAGAACCCCGGGGGTCCAAGCGCCCAGACCAAGGACACGGACGGGGGAGGTGTCTGGGAAGCTGGGGCTGGGGGCGCGGTTGAGGCAGGAACCCCCGCCCACCCCCGCGTGGCCTGGGCACGGCAGGAGGGGGCGCCCGCGGCCCTCCCGGCGCTCGGGAGGGACAAAGGCTGGAGCCCCGGCCCCTCCTCGGCGGGTGCGGCGACGGCGGCCCGTGCTCCGAGAGTCCGCGCGGCCGGGCCGGCGCCCGGGGCGATCCCGGCGCCCCGCCCGCCGCCGCCTGACTTCTCGGCGCCCGAGGTCGTGCGCACCCAGGCAGGGGCGGCCAGGGATCTCCAAGCGCCGGCGCCCTCCTCCCGCCCGCCAGCTCGGTGGCGGCGGCGGCGGCAGAGGAGGCGGCGGCGGCTGGCAGGCGGCGGCCCGGCGAGCGCGGCGGCCGGACCCGGGCCATGGCGCCCGCGCAGCGCCCGCTGCTGCCGGTGCTGCTCCTGCTGCTCCTGCCGCCGCCACCGCTGCCCTTAGCGCGCGCGGAGGACGCCTCCCGCGCCAACTCGGACCGCTACGCCGTCTACTGGAACCGCAGCAACCCCAGGTGAGCGCGGTGGGGACGGGGTGCTGGGGACCCCGGATGCCCCCTCCCGGGCCCGGCCTCCCTATCCTGAGCTTGAGTGTCCCCCAAGCTCGCTGCTTCTGGTGTGGGAGGGGATGCCCGGTCCCCAGGGAGCCCCCCAGGAGTCCCGGCAGCCCCGGAGTTTGGGGTACTCGTGCTACTCATGCATTCCACTTCGGGGGTGTCCCACTGCCATGCATTCTTGGGGGACTTACACCTGCATGTCCCAGAGCACCTCCGTCCCCGGGAGTTTGGGGATCCCCTCTGGCATCTCAGAAGCTGTTCAGCTTTCTAAGTTCCTTTCCAGACTTGGGGGACTGCATCGTTGAGGCTCTCCAGGGAAGGTAACCCCCTTTCAGAGTTGGTGGGGATCCCTCGGGACCTTGGCACTGAGCTGCACCTGGAGATGGGGGACCTTGGCCCCCTGGGTCCACAGGTACATCCCGCCAGCAAGTCCCCAGAGTAACTTGAAGAAGTTGGAATGGACTTTCCTACTGACCCAGGTCCATCTGCACTCCAGGGGCTTCAGGCCCAAACTTTGTAGGTCAGGGGAGACAGGTACCTAGAAAGCTGGGGATCAGTCCCAGGAGTCTTGATTGGTAATACCCTCGCCAGTCCTTCTAGTGTTTGATGGGAGAAACTGAGGGGCAAAGGGGATGAGCAGCTGGCTCAAGGTCATGGCAAGGGAGCAGAGCTGGGGCAGGGACCCCGGTGGCCTCTTTCCTAGCCTGCCAAGGTGCCAGCACCTGCCTGCCTGCCTGCCTGCCTGCCTGTACAGCCTCCTCAGTGCTGGGTGCTGAGTAGAATTTGGGGGGCAGCAAAATGAGAAAAGTTTGCTGGTGACGGACCACATCCTGGACATCAGCAGAAGCCTCTCTCTGGGCTGTCCCTGCGTCCTGAAGGCTGGAGTAGTCTAGGAGTCCGATGGGAGACAGGGCTCCAAGGTCCATGCCTTTATTATCAGCTCCAGCACTCTGGGCGTTCCCACGGTGGCAGGGCTGTCCATGGGGCGGGGGCCAGCCTCCCAGCTCCCTGCCCCTCTGCCACTGATCACTTCCTCTTCATTTCCAGTTCCTGGAAATGTGCCTTCCTAAGCCTGCCGTCCCCCACCGTTCCCTGCTGTCCTCGTCTTTGGGCCGAAAGTGGCATAAAGGGCAGTCTTTGAGGCGGGCTGTGGGACAAGGTGGCCAGTGTCCGCCGTGGGGGCAGGGAGTACGCCCGGACACTCCCCTCGGTTGCCCAGCTGCAGGGTCGGACCCTGGGACCCAGGATAGAGACCCCGTGCCAAGGAGGGCCGGCCAGGCCACCTCGGGCCCCTTCCCCTCACCACTAGCCTCGCTGGTCACGTGGGTTTGATTAAGGCAATTCCCTGAAGTTGGCTGAGCAGGGAGCCCAGCGGGCAGTGCTTCTCAGCCCAAGGTTTTGGTTTCAGCTCCAAAATCCCTGTCCCTGTCATGGCCTGTCCTTTGTTCTAGGAGGAGCTGCAAACAAACCAGGACGAACAGGGGTGACCTGGGGCAGAGGGGGGTCATTGGGGCAGCCCTCTGCCCATTCTGCCACAGGGCTGTGCTGCTGGCAGGGTCCTGCCAGGGAAAGGAGGTCCCCGGTCCTGGCTCTGCTACCACTTGGCCACTGCTATTGCTGACCTAGCAGCCCCGCTCTGAGGATGGCCTTGCTTGTCTGGGGCGGACCCTGGCCGGCACGCCTTTCTCACTTCCCTCTCATCCTCCTGCCTGGGTCCCATGGAGAAGTGACCCCCCTGACAGCTTGTGACGGGGGTGGGGGTTGGATGGGTCCAGATCGGGACTCTATTCATTGCTAAAATTGTGGGCTCTTCCAAAGGGGACCTTGGTGCCTGGGGACCCTTGGGAGGTTTAGTGCCCAGTAACAGGGTATCTCAGAAGGAGGGCTGGTGCTGGGCCTCAGGGTCTGAGGGCACCCAGAACTTTCCCTGGGGCACCCAGTCCAGGGACCACAGCCTGGGGAGAGGCACAGGGTCGGAGAGCAGGCCTGAAGAGTGAGGCAGTTCCAGGAAGAGATGAGAGACGGGCCTGGTAGGAAGAGCCAAGGATGGGGTCAATCAGAGAGACTGGTGGCTGTGGCAGGCTGAGGAGGCAGAAGCGAGAGGAGGGGGTGGGTCCCTGAGCCTGAAAGAGGCACACACAGAAGGCCCTGGGAGGGAGGGGACAGAGCGAGGGCCGGGCAGCTTGAGGCGGGGCCAGGCAGGCAGAGAGAGAGGAGCCTGAGCGGGGGCCAGGTGGAGATGGCCGGCAGCGGTGGCATTGCGGTGAGGCCAGCCACCCTCGCACGGCGGGGCCTGGTGCCTGCGCTGAGGTGGTACGTGTGGAGCTGTTTGCCGGGTTATGTTCTCCTGTGCAGATCGTTTCCTTCGGCTGCAGACATCGTAGGACAGGGAGCCTCGCACCTACCTCCACTGCTGTCGCCAACCCAGCCACCCTCCCCTGGCACCCCCACCAGCTGCTGTCCATTGCTGGTGTCTCTGAGCCTGTTCCTCGCTGGGCTGGGCCAGGGTCCTGGGCCAGCTGCCCTCACCTGGCCTGGCCATGGGCCGAGTGTGGGACTACGTGTACATTTGTGCACATGGGGGTGGGGGGTGCAGGATGTGTTTGTATGTGTTGAGGCGTGTTCTTGTTCCTGACATACAGGGAGTCCTAGGGACCCTGGGGGGGCATGTCTGTGTGGCAGAGTGATACGTGTGCCTATCTATGTATGGTGGCCCTGGCTTGTTTGCACATGTGTCTATGTGCTTATGCCTGGAATGCACACGTGTGGAGGGTGTGACACACATTTGCAGGAGTGTGTCTGGAATGTGTGTGGTGTCTGGGGGTACATATGCCTATCTGCACATGCATATTTGTGCATGGGGAGAATGTGTGTGTTTGTGCGTGGTGTACACATGTGTGTCTTTCGTGTGTCTGTTTGTGGAGAGCACATGTGTGTCTGCATGTGCAGTCTGGTTCTGGCTGTCCCAGGGCCTCACTGGTGGTGGCACAGTATGCTTTCCCTGCCTACCCTTCCCTTCCTCTTTGGGCCAGGGGGACCCTGCTGCCCGTGGTGTTAAGCAGCGGTCGCCTGCCTTTTGGACCTCACGGACCCCCGGTGGTCCACGGAGCACCAGTTGGCGACCGCTGGTGTAGAGGGTTCCATTGAGGTTGGCAGCGGGTACCATGCAGGGCGCCTGCCAACCCTCATACTCCCCACTTGACTGGAACACCTCAGCCAGACTAGACCCAGCTGTGCCAACCTTGGTGTGGGGGCTCTGGGCTTAGTGCCTACCCCACCAGGCATCTCGGGCTCTAGCCACCTTCCCCCGGCCTCCAGGTTACCCACAGGGTGGGCAGCGGCCACATTCCTCTCAGATGGCCTGGTGGGAAATGTGGGTTTGGGAGGATGTTCCTGTGGTGCAGGTGTGGGCCTCTATCCCCATCCCATCCCTGCTGGCCTTGCCTGGGCCTCTGGGGGGAGCTGGCCCTGAAGGGGCAAGGCTTTTGCCACATGAGGCTTGGGGGGGTTTGGGGTCTGGGGGCCTGGGGCCAGAAGGTGGGGTTCAGAAGGTGTGGGAGGGCCTGGACTTGGATTTATGGATCCTAGAACCCTAGGTGTGATCTCAGGCGGGCAGCTTGGCTGCTCTGAACCTGTGTCTCTTCCATGAAGTGGGGGCTGGCAGGCTATGCCCCTCAGCAGATGGCAGTAGGAGTCTTTTTTTTAAACATATATTTTTATTGATTTCAGAGAGGAAGGGAGAGGGCGAGAGAGATAGAAACATCATTGATGAGAATCATTGACCGGCTGCCTTCTGCATGCCCCATACTGGGGGTCGAGCCTGCAACCCAGGCATGCGCCCTTGACCGGAATCAAACCTGGGACCCTTCAGTCTGCAGGCCGACACTCTCTCCACTGAGCCAAACTAGCTAGGACATGCAGTAGGAGTCTTAAGGGGCACAGAGAGGAGAAACCGAGGCAGTCCCTGTGGGCAAGAGGAGGAGCCTGCCGGCCCCCAAATCCACAATGACGGTGATGTTCCAGGAATAGGTGACATGGCCAGCATGCCCCACCAGGTGGGAGTGACTCAAAACTGCTCCATTCAGCCCCCTGGCTCTGCTGTCCCCACCATGCTGCTCCCATCCTACATGGATGTGTGTGTGAGCACAAATCACACTGAACGTGGTGGCCTGTCCCCGCACCCACCGGGTATTGTAAGCACTTGGTCTCCCATGCCTCAGTCTCCTTGTCAACCCAAGGATGTTGGCTTCCAAGGGCTTAATTCACTGCACGGGTCAAGTTGCCCCCTCACCCAGCCCACACCCCAGCCATGCAGCTCCCTAACCCACCCTCCGGGGCTCCATTTCACAGACCCTGAGTAAGGGAGTCATCCAAGGCCACGGGGAAGCCGGGCCCAACTGGGCGTCACCCCTCTCCAAGAGGCAACCGGGTCTGGGCTGGCGAGGAGTGTCAGGGACACTGCGTGCATTCTGGGGAAGACAGGCCTGTACACCTGGGCCATGTCTTACTGAGCCTGAGGCCCCGAGCTAGAGCGGATTCTGCGTCTCCTCCCCACCTATTGTGCTCACCCTGCACTCAATGTATCCCCTGTTTCCAACCCTGCATTACTTAGGGCCCTCATTTCCCCCGGGGATCCCTCCCAGCTACCACATCCTGGTGGCCAGGTCTCAGGTGGAGATATGTCTTTTTGGCCCCTGGAAACCTAAGGGTGGGCGCTGAGGCCTTAGGGAGCTCGCTGGGAGCAGCAGGCAGGGACAAGTGGACTCTGCCCCACTCGGGTGCCAGGTGGGCGCCCAGGGCCCAGGCGTGCTACCCCCCTCACCAGTGCCTCGGTTTCCAGTCTGGGAAGTGCCCTCACCATTTGGGGTGAGATCCTTAATTAGTTGCTTTGCGATTAGCTCCCAATGACTTGACAATTGCCCAACTGGAGCTAAGTAGCAGCTTGCCAGGTGGTTGCAGAGAGGGGGCAGTTGGCAAGGTTGGGGTGGCCATGAAGGGCTGGACAGGGAGCCCTGATGGGTGAAGGACCACCCAGGGCTGGGAGGGCTGCCTGGAGGAGCAGAGATTGGCAGGGTGATCTAGATAGAGGCAAAGGTGTGGCTGGTGAGGGAGGGGGTGGGGAAGGGAGCAGGAGGTCTGAAAGGCTGGGGAACCCTCTGCCTGGGAAAGATCCCAACTCAGTCGCTGACTCCTTGGTGAGCATTCTCCTCTATCTGCTGCAACCACAGAGTATTGTCATATCAAGCGAAGGCCCCAGTGGAGGAAATGAAAGCTTTGTATTGCAGGAATCAGGCACCAGGCTCAGTCTGGGGACTGGGCCTCTCTAACACAGAGGCAGGGCGAGGCGCCAAAACCGGTTTGGCTCATTGGATAGAGCATCAGTCTGCAGACTGAAAGGTCCCGGGTTTGATTTTGGTCAAGGGCATGTACATTGGTTGCGGGCACATCCCCGGTAGGGGGCGTGCAAGAGGCAGCTGGTCGATGTTTCTCATCGATGTTTCTAGCTCTCTATCCCTCTCCCTTCCTCTCTGTAAAAAAAAAAAAAAAAAAAAAAATCAATAAAATATATTTAAAAAAAACACACCCAAACAAACAGGGTGAGGCGCCTGCCCTTGGCTTGCTAGCCAACTTGGAACTGGGATGCCAATGCAGCAAGGCACTCACTTATATTTTATTTATTTTTTTATTTTGTTTTGTTTTGTTTTTTTGTGTAAATCCTCAGTTGCGGATATTTTCCCCATTGATTTTTAGAGAGAATGGACGGGAGCAGGAGAATTAGAGAGAAGCATGGATGTGAGACACATCGACTGGCTGCCTCCTAAACTTGCCCCACACACGCCCCAACTGGTACCAGGGATGGAGCCTGCAACTGAGGTATGTGCCCTGGACCGGAATGAAAACCACAATCTTTTAGTCCAAGGGCCATTGCTCTATGTAGGGGTGTCGAACTCAATCAGAGAAGGGGCCAAAATCTAAAATCCAGCCTAAATCGCGGGCCGAATGGTTTACTGAACAGTCATAAACTGTCATTGTGATGGAAACGCAGCGGAGTGCAGTGATGACAGCGAGGTGTGGGCCACATTGCAAGGCCTGGCGGGACGGATTTGGCCCGCGGGCCTTGTGTTTGACACATGTGCTCTAACACATTGAATCCTGGGCCTTTGTTTGACCAACAAATACGTATTAAGCACCAAATATGTATGAGGTCTGTGTGGGTCACCAGGAAGGAGCGGAAAAGGAGGCCAACCCTCATTGTCCAGAAGGCAGACAGTGGGCTGTGTAGAAGTAAAACTGATGACATTGTAATGAGATACATGATAAGGTTGGGGAGGCAGGGAGAAGCATTCCAGGCTGAGGGACGAGTGTGTGCAAGGGCCCTGGGGCGGGAACAGGAGCAGCCGCGAGGCTGGTGCGGCTGGGAGGCAGGCAGAGGGTGACAAGGGGACTTGTGGGCCTGGGAGGACAGTTTATCTGAGCAGTGGAGAGAGTTTTTGAGCCATTGGCTCACAGAGTCTTACTGACATTCAGAAAAGAGCCCTGGATTTTGGGAGACACGGAGACCAGCTGACCTGGTGGGGTGCAGATATCTGGCTTCTGGGTCTCTAATGCTTTTCAGAAGGTGAGGAGAGAATGATGGGGAGAGGGGTGTCAGACGAAATGGACGCAGAGGTGGAGGGGGAAGAGAGGGTCACTGTGGCTCCACTTTCCCAAATCCATTGTGGTCTCAAGAAAGCCCGACAGAGCCCAAACCAGTTTGGCTCAGTGGATAGAGTGTTGGTCTGTGGACTCAAGGGTCCCAGGTTCGATTCTAGTCAAGGGCATGTACATTGGCTGCGGCACATCCCTAGTAGGGGGTTTGCAGGAGGCAGCTGGTCGATGTCTCTCTCTCATCGATATTTCTGGCTCTCTATCTCTCTCCCTTCCTCTCTGTGAAAAATCAATAAAATACATTTTTAAAAGAAAGAAAGCTCTGCAGAGAGCCAGGCTCTCCTTCAGGCTATGTGTGCATCCCTGGGCACTGTGCCAGGGACAGGAAGGGAAACTGAGGCCCAGAGGAGTTTGGGGCCCTGCCAGCCTGGCACCCCCTCCTACTTCCTCCATGTGGTCTCCCCTACAGGGCTCTGCATAGGTTCTAGCCAGCCCCCAAGTGGGTGCTTGGCTGCTGCTGCCATCGATTGGCAGATCAATGGGGCTTTCAATGGGGCCAGGAGGGAGTGAAAATGACTTTTCAAAAAGCCTAGAGCAGCTTCTGCATCAATCAAGCCCAGGGGGCTGAAGGACAGACAAAGCCTGGACAGCCTTGGGGCAGCCTGAGGGGATGGGCAGAGGCCAAGGCTGACCCTGGCCTTAGCCTGGCCCAGGTCCCAGCTGACCCTGCCTCAGCCTGACCCTTGGTCCCAGCCTGATCCCACTTCCTGAGGCTAGCTGCCAGACACATTTATTCCACAAAAACCTTCCCACCTCTGTGGAGCTGGAGTGAATTCTTGATCCCTGAACAAACCCAATAGAATGGGGAAGAGGCTGGGGGAAAATCTGCTCCTTCCCGTTCCCAGAAACTCTGTGAGCCCGGAAATCACTGCTGTAGTGATGGGTGGGGAAGCTGAGGCACCAGTGAGCAGGGTCTTCTGCCTGCCTCATTCCCGCTTCCGGGGGGTCCTGCCCTGCCTGGTGCAACATCGCAGGGCGCCAGCCCCTACCATCTGATCATCCCGCTGCCCCCTCAGGTGCCAGCTGTGCCAGTTAGCGCTCCTGGCATGGGGCCACATAGAGCTCCCTCCGGGCTGGGCTGCTAGCGGGTCCGTACAGAGATGGCGGGGGGGGGGGGGGGGGGCTGGGGATGCTAGCGGGGTCCATACAGAGATGGCGGGGGGGGGGGGGCCTGGGGCTGCTAGCGGGGTCCATACAGAGATGGGGGGGGCTGGGGATGCTAGCAGGGGCTGGAATCCCAGCAGCTTGCACCCTCCCTGTCCCCCACCCCTGCCAGGCCTTTTCCCTGCCTCCTGTACAGGGAGGACGAAGGCAGGGACAGCCTGAGGGGCCTACACTCCACACAGCCGCTTAGGCTTTTTATGTGCTAATTAGCCCCTCTTGGGAGGCCCCCTGTGGTCCCCTTCTGTCCAGGCTGCGTTCACATGACGGGGACCCTGGGGACCGTGTCTGGAAGATCTAAGAGCTTCTGGTGCTGTAACCCGAGGTGGTGATGGGAGGGGAGCTGCCGGTCTCTGGCTCAGCCGACCTCCATCCTCCCCAGACAAGGCTGGGTCAAGAGGGGCTTCAGCTGCCAGACAGTCTTAAAGGGACCCCCCCGGCAAGGCTGGGGGGCGGAGATGGCATGGGTAGGGGAACCGGTGCAGTGACCAGGAACTTGGGGGGCAGCTGCCTGATCCCCAGGCTCCCGAGCTGGGGTCACACAGGATGGAAGGGGTAGGGCTGGGAGTCGAGTCCAGCACACCTCTGAGCTAGGCCGAGCGAGTGCCCGAGGTGTTCACTCTGCGCCACACCGCCTGCGGGAACGTGAGGCAGAGCTTGCCCAGGGGAGGCCAGGACGCGGGCCTGTGTCCCCAGGCCCCCTCGGGCCTTCCTGGCCGGCGGGTCTGCAGAAGGAAAGCCAAGGAGGCTGCCCCTGATGGGCAGGGATGGGGTTATCTGGAGGAGAGGAGTGTCGAAGTCAAGCCGTAATGTTTCTGGAGAAGGACTTCCTGGTGGGGGAACAGCTTGTGTGAAGCCTGTTTGCCAAGAGGGGCCCAGATGTTGGGCCTGCGGGGTGGGGGTGGTGTGTGTGTGTGTGTGTGTGTGTGTGTGTGTGTGTGTGTGTGTAGGCCCTTCCGAATCCCTGGGTACGTGCTCCTGTGCATGTTACCCTGCAAGCGGTCCCTCCTCCTCAGCTCCAGCCACGTTGAGGCCGCGGGCCCAGGCGCCTGCTAGCTGACCGGTCCGCTGGGCCAGGGACTTGCAGGGTGCGGTGGGTGCCAGGCCGGGGACCGTGGGCTCGCACCCTCGAACATTCCCTACAGCTTCCGCCTAGCGGTCTCCTGAGACCGCCCCGACCGCGTGCTGGGCACGCCCCGCGCAGACCTCGCCCCCCACGTTTCCCCCCCCCCCCCGCCCCGCCCCCCCTGCACTGACTGCCCGGCCCCCGCTCCGGGACCTGGTCCCGCCCCGGGCTCACCCCGGCCCCCGCCAGGTTCCACGCGGGCGCGGCGGACGACCGCGGCGGCTACACGGTGGAGGTGAGCATCAACGACTACCTGGACATCTACTGCCCGCACTACGGGGCGCCGCTGCCGCCGGCCGAGCGCATGGAGCACTACGTGCTGTACATGGTCAACGGCGAGGGCCACGCCTCCTGCGACCACCGGCAGCGCGGCTTCAAGCGCTGGGAGTGCAACCGGCCCGCCGCGCCCGGGGGGCCGCTCAAGTTCTCCGAGAAGTTCCAGCTCTTCACGCCCTTCTCGCTGGGCTTCGAGTTCCGCCCGGGCCACGAGTATTACTACATCTGTGAGTGGGCGGGGCCGGCGAGGGGCGGGGCCGGGGCGGGGCGAAACAGGAGGGGCGGGGCCTGGTGGGAGGCCAGGGCCTGGTTTCCGCCCCGTCTCCTTGGCCCGCGCTGGCCTCTGTCCTGGGGTGAGGGGTCAGCCTCTTGGATGGTCTCGTTATCCTTCCAGCAAGTCCTGGAGGCCCACTGTCAGGGTCCCCATTTTGCAGATTGGTAAACTGAGGCCCAGAGCGCGGTGGAGACTATATATACATCAGCCACTGGGCCTCTGTTCTGGGGGAGCCGGTGACCCCCACCATCAGTCTGTCCCACACTGAGACCCAGGCTGCCAAAGCCCTGAGGGGGTACACTGAAGCATACCGAGCCTATGGGAGAGTGGAGCTTGGCCAAAGCCAGGGGGGACAGCAGAGCTTGTCCTGGCCCTGCCCTGGCACTCCCTCCGACCCCTGCTGCGGGAAGGGACCCAGCTCCTCAACATTCCGGCTCCTGCCGTGTCAAACTAAACTTCACGAGGCCTTTCCGCCTTTCCTGCTCTGTTTGGGCTTTTCCCTTTTATTTCAGGGAAGAAAGAGGTGGAGGCAGGGGGAAGAAGGTGTTTAAATTAAAAATTACATTTTCTTTCTGAGATGGGAGTTTCATAAAGACAATCATTGTAATTATTTGCCCTGTCTCTGTGACAAATGTTATTCTTATTATCTGCTCTTTATCTTCGTCTCCCAGAGTATCTTCATCTCCTACAGTGCTAGGAGGTCTTGTTCTGGGGGTTGGGGCAGAGGTGGCAGCCAAAGGCAAGAGGACAGTCTGAGAGGACGGGGGGTGGGACACGGCTTGCCCACAGCGATTTACATGTGTGCTCCCCGCCAGCCCCGCCTTCTGATTCGTGGCTGAGCTGTGGCACCACCCCTTCCCCGCACCAGGGCCCTCGTGTTGGCCGGGGAGCAGGGAGCAGTGCTGGTGGCTCTTTAGGCGTGAGACCCAGTGTGTTTCCACTTCCATGTGACCTACGGAGTGTGGGTTCCAGGAGAAGTGGAATCAGATTCCCTCCCAGGGTAACTGGCTTCTACCGTCTCCCACATGGAAATAATCATCTCCGAAGTATCTACTGTGTGCCAGCTGAAGCCCAGATAAGGGGTGATTTGTTAACAGTAACCCAGAGAGCAGGGATTTGCTCCCATGTTAATCATTTGGTTTTACTGAGTTTAGGCTGATCAGTTGGAAACAAACGTTTTATCTGTCACCTTTGAACCTTGCTCTGCACATGATGGAGCTAGACACAGACACTCCAGTTCCTGAGGCTAGAGTGCAGCAAAGTGGGGGTCAGGGGACATATGTAGGAGGGCTTTGGGGAAATAAGGGGGGCACTGTGTCTGGGGCTTTGATGTATGATTAGGAGTTTTATGGGTAGATCCCCCACCTGGGGTCAAGGATGGGGTACCAGCTTGGGGAAAGGGGTTACAGTGCTAGGAGGTCTTGGCCACCAGACCCCCCTGCCCCACTAACTCACAACCCATTTCTTCTAGCTGCCACACCACCCAATGCTGTTGACCGGCCCTGCCTTCGGCTAAAGGTTTATGTGCGGCCAACCAGTAAGTACTCAGGGAGTTGGGCAGAGTCCAGGACACCCTTGGGTCCTCATTGAGAATCCACTGAGTGGTCAGTAGAGTCAGGGGATGATCACAACACAGCCCGGAAGTCCCACAACCTTAGCAAGGGCGGGCTCATCCTTGGGCCTCCATTTCGCCATCTGCAAATGAGGACATTTCAGACCTTCAAGAGTGAAGGTTGAAGCCCATTGCTGAGCACCTCACTGAGGCCATAACCCCCAGGCGTGGGCATCAGGGAAGTTTCCTGAGATGAACCAAAGGGCCTGTGTTCCGAGCTCTTGAAACACCATGGCCACACCCAGAGGCAAGGGGACCCCCGGCAGCTTCCGCCCCAGTGCCAGGGCTGGGACGTTTAATGGTCAGGCCTGGATAAGCCCTAGGAAGCAGATGGAGGGGGGGCCGCGGAGAGAGGGCTCTGGGCCGCTGCTGACTGTTCTGTCTCCTTCTCCCCCAGACGAGACCCTGTATGAGGCCCCCGAGCCCATCTTCACCAGCAACAATTCGTGCAGCGGCCCGGGCAGCTGCCCGCTCGTCCTCAGCGCTGTCCCGGTCCTCTGGACCCTCCTGGGCTCCTAGTTCTGGCCCACACGATGCCGGCCCCAACTGGACGACCGAATCCAAGACCAAATAGAGGCGCCTGGCTCTCTCGCCTGGTGCCGCCCCCACCTGCAGGGGGTTGTCTGCCTGCTCCAGAACCAGCCCCAGTGCCAGGGGACAGCCAACAGCCCCTGAGGCCCGAGGGGCCAGCCCGTCTCATCAGGGACACTGGAGAACCTGAGAAACTTATCCGTGATGTTGGTTTTTTGTTTGTTTGCTTATTTTTCATGGTTGGATCAGAAAGGCTTGAATTTTTAATTTAATTTATTCCTTGCTGTCGCCAGGGACTTTGAAAGGAAACACATTGGTTTTGGGGGTGGGTGCTTGGCTCCCTGGGGGATGGGAATGGGTAACCCCTCGTCTGGGGGCTCCATTTGTTGGGTCCTGGCTGGAGACCATTGCAGACCCCCCCGCCCCCAGGTGCTCCAGGAGAGGCCAGTAGGAGGCAGAGGGTAAAGGTGAGACCCCTGGATTCTGGCCTAGACTCTGAACCCACCTCAGATTCTCGTCCCCTCCTCATGCCTGGGATTGTCTCCCAGAGCAGAAACCCACGGAGGCCCCTGGAGTCCCAGCCACTCCGAATCCCAGCTCCCCGCTGTGTCCCGCAGCCTCTCGTGGTCGCCCCCGAGCCCAAGAAGACCTTACGTTTCTGTAAATAGAGCCAGGAAGTGTGCACTGTGGCTTATTCTCACTGTGTTCCTGAGGACGAACTGGACAGTTTTTCTTTTCCCCTCCCTCACATCGTCAGGAGGATCTCTTATTTTGGCGGGGGGGTGGGTGGACTTTGTAGAGTAGAAGCCACACTTTGCAATAAGCTTGTTGTCTGTCAGAGCCCCCTTCCTGTCCTCTGGGATTAACAACGTTTATAAGAAAAAAAAGAAACAGGACACAACAAAACACAGGCGTGGACCTGCAACAAGAACCCCTCTCCCAAAGACACTTGAATGAAGCAAACGGCGCATTTATACAGATTTCCTATTTCTGCCCACCCTTCCTGACCTGTGTTTTATATATATTGTATAAGAACATATATGGCGCACAGCTGCCGGGGACCTTTTGTAGGGGTTGGCCTGGGTGGTGGTGTCGCCACGCCTGGAGCTGGCGACGGGGCCTCCCCCCTCCCGTCACAATCAACTTTGGATTCTGTATTTTTTAATAATAAAATAAGCATAAACCTCTA